CTCTCCTGCTGTCCCTGAGGTCAACATCAGCAGCACCCCCACACACACCTCTGGTTGTTGTCCTAAGGACTAAACAACATCACAGCATCTGTGTAACTAGATGGCTCCTGTCCCTTCCCCCACCATCCACAAGATCCCCTTCAGTCCTGGCCAAGGCCAGCAGGAGAGCCTGGGCCTCTCTTTGGAAACCTGTTCACCTGGCTACTGCTGGCTACCTTCCCTGGCACCTCGGTAGGGACAGCCATGGGGGGGCTGTGCCGGATGGGTGAGCTCGGAAAACAATGGGCCTCTGTGACCCCCCAGGATGGGCCAGTTCTTGGGCAGTGCTTGGTGCTGGTTTCACACAAGTCCCTTCAGACCCAGTAGCTAGAGATTCCAGCTGCCCCAAGCCCCAGGACGAGAGAGTAGGAGTGCCCCCCACTGCCTTCCCACCTGGACGTCTGGCCTTCTGTCCCGACCGCCCATGTTCTGCCAACCTAAAGGCCCTAGATCTGGAATTCCCGCTCCTGACCTCTGCTGATCAGGGCGAGGCCACCTGAACCCCTCCGACCACTACCTTGGGACAGCTCCCCACAGATGCTTCTTGGCTGTCTGTCACTGGCTGGCCCTTGTCTGTCCTCCAGACCACCTGAGTGTGCTGGGTGGGGATGGAACGCATGCCACCCGACGCCCAACAGTCTTCCTGTCCTGCCCTGCCTGTAACAGGTCACTGCTCTGGTACCAGCATTCCAGCTGCTTAAGTTGCATTTCAAAGCATGGATGGTTCTGGGCAGACAAGGAGGCAGGGGACCCCCCGCAGAGGGGACCCAGCAAAGGCTTCACAGGTGACCGGGAGAGAGGCAGGGACATGGTGACAGGAGCAGGACATGAGCAGAGAGGTGTGAAATCCGGGCGGGGGGCCAGGCCCACCTGGGGACGTCCATCCGGGTGGCCATTTCTGGATGGCCTGAGAGCTAACACAGGACAGCCTGGCTTCCTGGTACCTGCAGGCTGGGTTCCCAGGAGGGTGGGTGGATGACAGGGACCACAGCAATGGCTTCCTCAGTGCCTCCTGAGAGGGGACCCCTGATACAGGGCCCTCCCACCGCCCTCCAGCTGGCTCACAGGTGGGACGCACCCCAAGGAGGCATGGGTCACCTGCCCTCGGCATCCCCTCGCCGTCTCCCTGCCGTGCCTGGTCAGGCCCTGCTCTGTTGTCCAGTGCGAAACCCCCTAAAGTTTCCTGCCCTCGTGGCCTGGTGGAAGCCCTGAGTTCATGTCCCTGATCTGCTCTCCACCTTGCTGGTCACCTCCAGGTAATGGCTTAACGTTTCAAGCCTCAGTTTGCCCTTCTGGGAATTGGGGATCCTAGTGCCTGCCTTATCTCCCGCTCCAGTTCCGGTGAGAGCCCCAGGAGAGAACAGATAAGGAGAGCTTTTGAAAAGTACAAAGAGCTGCACTCAGGAAGGAGCGATTATTGTTATTACCTCGATGCAGAGATAAGGGAGGGGGAGGAGGCCCAGTGACAGTTGCCAAGAAACCCAGGATCTGTCAGCAGCGGTTTCTGCCTGGCCCAGCCCACTGCGGAGCGGGCCCTGCCCCCTCACCCCTGCTTTGCCCTTTCCCAGGAAAAGCAGGGTGCTCCTGGAGGCTGGGGAGCTGGGCCAGCTGGCTGGTGGCCACGAGGCCATGGCAGCTGGAGGTGACCCCAGAATGTGCCTGGCCCGGGTTCCAGGTTGGCTTTGGCTTTCCGAGTGACCTTGGGTGAGTCACCTCCCGTCTGGCTGCTACCAGAGGTGGGCAGGCATCCAGACTAGACAGGGCAGGACTGCCGCTGGACCGAGGGCAGACGCTGGCAGTGGACCTGGGCTGCAGTAGGGAGGTCACAGAGAGCAGAGACCAAGTGATAAGTCTGAGGGCCTGAGTTGAGAGCAGCCAGGACGTGCATAGAGGGAGGAATCCCCTGGTTGGGGTCAAGCCTCAGCATGGCCCTGGCTCTGGTGTGACCTTGGCCTTGTTACTTAACCTCTGTGTGCCTCGGCTTTCTCGTCCGGGCAAAAGCTTGATAAAGCCCGATCTCTAGAGGCCACTACAGTGATGGAGGGAGACCTGCCCGTACAGACCACAGTGCTGTGCACCTGTGACCATGGTGGGGGCAGCGAGAGGGGCCAGCTCTGCCCATCCCGGATTAGGAGAGAGGGGGTGGGCATGGAGGTTCACATCCATGAAGAGGGAGGACATGGCAGAGAGGGGGCAGTCTGCAGACCGAGGTGTGGGGACTGCAGGGTGGGCCAGCAGAGGCAGGGAGAGGCTGAGTTCAGGCATCGCTTCAAAGGTTTTTAGGAAGCGGCTCCTGTTTATGGGGAGCACCACAGTGCAGTGTCAAGGCACATGGTAGGAGTTCAAATCCTCACACTGTGTGACCATGGATAAATTACTTAACCTCTCGGTGTCTCGGTTTCCCTTCTTTGAAAACTGACGGTTTGGCAAGTGATGGTTAAATACAAGGGAGCACAGTAAGCAGAGCCTGCTGCCATCACTCTGGTGACCAGAACTGTGACCACCACCACCCCCAGCTGACCTGGGCTGGGCAGGCTCTGTGTGGCTGGTCCACAGGGTTGGCCTTGCAAGGTTGAGATCGTGGCTCTGGAGTGCACAGACCTGGACTCAGATGTCTGCTCCGCCTCATTAACTGTGTGACCATTCTGAGCCTCAGTTTCCTTATGTGTAAAGCAGGTTGACCCCAAGCACATGCCTTGTTGGGGGGCTGTCAGGATGCAGTACGATAGTGCACGCACAGGGCAGGCAGTGGCTCTGTCCTCACTGTCCTTTAGCCCTTCAGGGCTGGGCATGGAATTTCCTCCTCATTCCCCATCCTGGAGCTCCACCCTTCCCCTGCCCTTTCGGACTCAGCAATGACTGCTTAGGTGTCGGTGCCTGGGTACTGCCCACGAGGGACAGAACTCTGGCCACTAGAAACTGGAGAACCAGGAGGAGGTCCCACAGGACCACCAGGACCACTGAGCCTTGAGAGGCCTCCCTGGGCCTGTGCCAGAGTGACTGGCCCTGAGAAGTGGACCTGGGGAAGACAGAGGACACTGCTCACCCAGCCTGGCCAGGGTGGCGCTGGCCACTCAGCAGCCAGGACCACATCAGGGCCAAGGGCACCCAGCCTCACCCAGGCTTCAACCCTGGGACTTCTTGCCCCTGGACGGCCTCTGCTCCCCATCCACAGCACAGACCATGTTCCCTCAAGGATCAGTACTTTAAATTCAGGTTCTGTCCGCTACTGGCTAGGGAAGAGGCTTCACCACTCTGAGCCTGTTTCTCCATCTGTGAAAATGGAGACGCAGAGCACCAGCCTCCTGGCAGGGCAGTGAGGGTATAGTATGTTTGACCTGGTTCCAGGCACACGGGTCTGAAGAGTCCATGGCACCCCACCATGGAATTCACTTGGACATTTCCACGGCCTCTGTCTGGCCCCATCTCCAGTTTGTCCCCATGTCAGTGGATCTTGAAGTTTTCAAGAAGCCATGTTCAGGATACTCCCTCACTCACAAACTTTCTGTCAAACTGCACTAATTCAGTCAACAACTCCTTACTGGAATGCTAACTGGGGGAGCCAGAGTTTACTGTGAATGAACAAGGATCAAAGTATTCATTGAGTGAGTGCCCACAAGCTTCCCAGACTCGGAAGAATTTTTTGGAAACTGAGGCTGAGACTCACACATCTCCAGTCAGTGCCCAAGGGTAGCTTGTCCACCTACACTGATGCCATGGGCTTGGAATGCCGCTGCCACCTGATCTATCCTTTTGGATCAAGCACTGCCCAGTGTGGCACTGCCTTTGTTCAGGATGCCAGCACCTCTGGAAGCTGGAGGCGCCAACCAGAGCTGTGGCTGGTTCCTCTGGCTGGGGGGAGTCCAAGAGGGGCTGAGAACTCCTTTGGCGTCTCTTTCCTGGGAAGGTTTCTGTGGGGCGTGGCATCCCACCGCTGCCTGACTCAAGCCTGCCACAGGCCACTGAGGATCCTCTGGAGGGTGACTCAGTCTCGCAGGACCAGCCTTGCCTGATGCGTGCCGGGTGGAGGTGCAGCCACGTCACGGTGGCCGTCGGCAGCGGCGGAAGCCAGGCCTGCTCAGCCAGCCCCAGGCTGCCTGGATCCTGGGAACCAAGGGGGCACTTCCTCTCTTGACCTGAGGGTGGTCTCGGCAGGCTTTCTAGGGTGCCAGGTGCTGGCTTTGCCTTCACCAGGTCCACTGTAGCTTCTGGAGGGCTGTGAATGTGGGCAGGGCCCAGGTCGGAACCAGACAGGTCCCGCGTAGGTGCCAGCTCTGCTGAGGGCCAGCTGTGTGACCTCTGTGTCCATCCAAGTCTTTGTCTGTAAAGTGGGAATTCCAACGTGGTGAGGAGACAGTGCCCTCGGGCTGGAAAGAGGGCTCTGTGCAGGCCTGTCACATCATGGGCCCTGTGAGTGGCAGTTACTGTCATCGGTGGTAGCGGTAGCTTGGTAGCCTCTTGGCTCTAAGGCTGCTGTCTCCCTAAAGGCTCACACAGGAGTCGTAATCTTGGGTACCCTGTTTGTCCGGAAGTCTTGGCCCTCTGCAGCAACCTTCACTGTCCCCACCTCAGTCTACAGGATGGACTGTGGACGTCCTCACAGCTGAAGGCTCACGGAGAGAGGCCCTGTGGGGGGAGACCCTGTCCACACCTATGGTGTCTGGAAGGAGGCTCTGCTTGGCAGCCCTGCTCAGGAAGCCCCTTTTCCTCCTGCTCCTCCTGCTCCTCCTGCTCCTCCTCCTACTCCTCCTGCTCCTCCTCCTCCTCCTCCTGCTCCTGCTTCTCCTCCCTTCTCCTCCCCTTCCCCTCCCCCTCCCACACTCTTTCACCCACCTCCCTTCTCCTCTTCCTGGGGAACCCTCCATGACATCCACCCCTCTTCACCTCGGAGATGACTGAGAATTCCAAATGTCCCCACTTGGGGCTCTCTCTGACCTCAGACTCTTCCTCCTCACTTCTAGGAGGAGTGATGGGCAGAACCGGCGCATCCCTCAGGCTCTAGACCTGTCTCAAGTGGACTCAGTTCCCTCCCACCCTGCTTCGGTCTACCCCAAGGTAAGCGCCTTTCATGCCAGCAGCCAGGAAATATGCACGGGGCAGGGGGAGGGTTCTGCTGAGGCTCAGGCACCCAAGTCCTGGTGGTCTGTGCAGCATCAGAGGTGGCACCCAGGGGACGGGGAGGGCTTTTTCAGGAAAACAGCTAGGCATGGACTGGCCAGGCCATCATCTTATTTATCAGCGCCACCTTCAGTGTCCTCTGCCCTCTGTAAGTCAGGTGTGATGATAGGACCTGATTCGCAGGCCGTTGCTCCTGTTGTGAGCCTCGGTCCAGGCTTTCCTGCCCCTGCTTAGTGCTGAAACTTCACCTGTCCTGCAGGACCCCCTGCCTGGCAGCTCCCTAACCAATTTACACAGAATGTTATACACCAGTAATGGCCACTGAGATCGAGTCGGCTTTCCTGCATGTCGGCGAGGACTCGATGTTACCGTGTCATATCTCATCCTCCAGCTCCGAGTGCTGTAAGAGCCACTACCAGTCACACTTTGCCCTGAGACAAGGCTGGGAGAGGTTTCGTCACTCTCCTAAAGTTTTGCAGGTTGCACATGGCCCAGCCAAGACTGGATGCTGTGGTCCAGCCAAAGCGCCCAGTTTAAAGCTGACTGTGGTGGTACTCACCTGTCATCACAACACTCAGGAGGTGAGGCAGAAGGATCGCCATCAGTTCGAGGCCAACCTGGGCTCTACAGTGAGTTCAAGGCGAACCTGAACTGCATAGCAAGACCCTGACTCAAACAACAAATAAATAAATAAAAAGTGACTCTCTAGCACAGGGGTAATAAGCGCTTACCTCTGCAATTTGTAAAACACTGAAAAACACTGTGCCTCTTGGTCCTTTCGTCAAACCTTGGGTGGCAGCCTTCTCCAGATGAGAGTCCGCATGCTCAGGGAGGTGGAGGGTCTGCCAAAGGTCACACAGCCAGGAGGTAGAGGAAGCTGAATCTACTTGGCTCCTCCCCAGGGTTCTAGCCTGGAGTAAGTCCCAGGGATCTTTTCTGAGCCAAGAGAAAGGATGTGGAATACCTGCATGGGGATCCTAAGTAGAGATGCTGGTGGCATCAGAATGGGGCTCCAGAGTCCCCTCTGACTTTCTCTGCTTGAAGAAACAACACCAGACTGGGCCATTAGGGGTCCTGGTCTTAGCAGGAGGAGGGTGACTTGATGGCAGCAGCTTGCTGGGGCAGCTTAGATCACGACTCTCCCAGCCCTTTTCCCCCTAGGCATTTGGTGATAAGTTCCCTTCCTTGGGCCTCAGCATTACTGTCTGGGAAGAGGGTTTGCAGCCCCTCACCTGAGGTTCTGCCTGCTCAAGCAGCCTGGGATCGCTTTTCCTGGATTAGTTCTGAGCTGTGTCCCCTTGGGCTTCCTGGCCTCTGCCCAATCTGGCAGCCTCCATTTGGCCAACACAGCCCACAGTGGGTGCCGATTACCTGCTTCCAGAGAGCTCACCCTTCTCCAGAATCAAGACCCAGGCTGTGGATCATCCTCCTCTGATGCAGAAGGAAAGCAGGCTCAGACAGACTGAATGATTCATCTGGGGTCCCCAGCAAGTTAGCAGTGGGCTAAAGGAATCCAAGCCTGAGACACATTCTCCATCTCTCCCCCAGAACCCCCAAATCTGTGCACTTTTATAATCTTGATGGAACCTGTCTGAGTAAAAGTGACCTCCCCGTGCCGGTGGACAAATCTCTGGCTCTCCCTGTGCTGTCTCTTACCTGTATCACAGATAAGGAACTGGGCGATACCCGGAAAAATATTTGGGAAGGTACAAAGTAGAAAGCTGACCTGTTATAAGCACCATTACATTTCCAGGGCTAGACAGAACACCCAGAGGGGGCATTCCCTTCTCTTTGGGGAGTCAGCTTTGAACCACCACTAAGCTATCCATGAACCTCTCCCCGCTACAGGTTTCCCCACTCAAGAATGCAGAAGTCCGTACATATGTACATGATCAGCCTACCCACATCTAGCACGGGACATCTCAGACACAAAGCACATGTTTGTGCATGTACAAATGCATGAGATATATGTGTAAACACAAAAATGCACATACCCAGGCAGTTCCATGCCAAAGAATCACAATAGCTCTACATGCACGCAGCCACATCCTGTATCCTGAAGGTCCTCCTCTGGGGCTAGTGTGGGAATGATGTTCCTCTGGCTGCATTTCGATGAGTGCCCGGAAGTGTGCAGGCCTGGAAGTGGCTCTGTAAATCAATATTTGCTGCTGTTAATTATTAAAACGAAAGCTGCTACTCTGTGCCTGGAACATACATCTCCAGAGTTCCCAGCGGCTCTCCAGACTCAAACCTGACCCAGGGCCAGATCTGGGGAGAGACAGGGAAGGAAAGCACAGTGCCTTCCATGAAGAGCTTCTGGCCCTGGGGATGCAGGATGGTGGGCAGCTTGGGGCAGCTTTTCTGGGAAGATGCAGAGAGATCTGGGGCAGCTGTGCACTTGCAGCTCCCAGAGCAGCAGGGGTCGATTGGCTACAGCTCAGCAGGCATTGCTGTGTTCCCAGCATCTGTCTGGAGGAGGAGGAGGCTAAACCCAGCCGGGACACACTTCAGGGCCAGCCAGAAGGATCTGCAGAGGCCTTACGTTTTACAGATAGGGCAACAGATCCAGAGAGATGGCCGAGACTCACTTGTACCAATCAGCAGGTTGTAGCAAGGCCAGAGCTAGAACTCACACGTCCTGAAATCTGCTTGAGCCCTTTCCTCGCTACCCTGCGGACCTGGCAGCCTTCATCATCTTACTGTGGCACTGTATTAGTCTCTCCCCGGGGTTGGTGGCAGTTAGAGCTTGGGGAACACTGGGTACAGGCCAGCCCGTGTCAAGCACTGGAGTGGGGAAGCGGAAGAGGTAGAGAAAAGGCCTGGAAGTGCAGGTCCAGGCCCTTCTCTGCATTCCTGGTTTTCCTAGCTGTCTAGGGCAAGCTATCTTGCCTCTTATCATCAGTTTTCTTATCTGTATAATGGGGATAACATCTGTACTTCTTGGGTTATGACATGATGGGACGCATGAAGGGCCCAGCATTAAGTGTTTTAGAAAAGCCCTGTAACTCCTCCTCTTCCTGGCTGGCTCCACAGCCTGTCCTAAAAATCTCCTCCTTGAGGCTCTAAGGCAGGGTACCCAGAGTCTGGGAGGACGCACAGAGGAGCCTGACCTGTCTAAAACCGCCTGGGTCTGGGCCGACTACGCAGGCGCAGTGTCGGGGCCCGCGGCGGGCAGGCCGCCCGGGGGCGGGGCTTCAGTGTCCCCGCCCCGGCGGCTGCGGCCCCGCCCCCGCGCCACCCGTACCTGGCGCCCCGCCCCCTCGGGGCCCGGCTGCCCGGCGAGCCCGGCGCAAGCAGCTCCGCCGCCGCGGGACCCGGGAGCGCGGAGCTCGGCGCTGCGGGGCCCGGGTCGGGGCGCACGCGGGCCGGAGCCAGCCGGGCCAACTGAAGCTCCGCCGGGGCCGGGCCGGGCTCGGGATGGCACAGCCGCGGCTCCCAGCGCCCCCGGGCCGCCCGCGGAGGGGCTCGCTGCCCGCGGGGGGCGGCTGGCAGGTGAGGACCGGTCCGGGCGGCCTGGCCGAGGGCACCCCGGCGCTGAGCAGCCCGACTTCGCCAAGCGCGGCCAGTGGCGCCCGAGCCCGGGCGGGTGTGTTAGCCTCTGGGCTGACACCAGGCGGCGGCCCGCAGGGCAGGGTGCACCCCCTGCCCAGGGTCCAGGCCCTGGGCTCTTGCTGCAACTGTCCAGGGAATCGACGGGCAGCCTGCGGCTCTGGGCTGCGGTGACACCTTGTGTGTGCGTGTGTGCCTCTGTCGGGATCACTTTCCCCCTTCTTTCCCTGTCTGGGCTCTGCATGTCACGTGAGGACCCACCTCAGTCTGGGCCACAGCACTCCCAGCCTCCTGTCGCCATGTGTCCAGGCTTCTGCTAGGCTATATTGTGGGTGTTACTTGTTGCTGTGTGTATACTCTGGGTGACAGTACCATGTGTCAGTGTTTATGTGGCTGTGATTCCCAATGCAGCAAAGCATTGTGGTTTTGTTCCCGGCTGTTTGGTCACCTGAGGGGGGTGCCCACACTGCTGTGTCTCATGGGAGGAGCAGGTTGGAGGCTGCCCCCTGACCCCAACAGATGCCACTGCTGTCACAGTGTGTTTGTCTTCCTGGACTACAGGTGTGTCCGTGGTGTCTCCTGTAACTAACTGTCAGTGGTATTCTCTTCCAAGCGCTCAGGTGTTGGGTGTGGTGAGAGGTGACTGTGGTGGCCCTTCCAAGGTGGGTCTTACTCTGTGGACAGGTCTCAGAGTGTGCACGTGAGGTAGCATGTGTGACTCGTGACCTTCACCAGAGCTGTGTGCGTGCATGTGTGGTGGTGGGGGCCTGTACTCAGGCTGGTGAGGATTGGCAGCTCCTGTGTTGGCTTTTTCTTAAAATTTGTCACATTGTGAGGCGGAGTTTGTTGTGGCCATGTATGTGTGATCCTGGTGGGGAAGGAGGTTTTAGCTGTGTGTATGTGGCTCTGTGTTTGTTTCCCTGAACACCTGCCTGTCCTTGGGACTGTGTGTGACAGCGCGTTTCAGACAGGAGAGTGCTTTTGTGGTGTTTGTGTAACATTGTGTACAGATCTGCATAGGTGTAGGTGTGGGTTTGTGTTTGTGTGTTTTTTGTGGTATACGGATCTGTGTGTGAGTAGGTGTGCTATTGTATAACTTATTTGTGTGTTAGTGTGTATCTCTAAGAATCACAATGCACAGACCCCATGGATTCACGTGTGTGTTTCTTAATACACAGTGTATGCATGGTGCACAATATTAGTATACAAGCCTGTGTGAGCAGGAGAGAGAGAGAGCCTGTGTGCACACGTGTGTGTATTTCCTAGTGCACAATCTCCTAGCACATGTCTGGGAGCTCAGGCAGTGCCCCCACTGGGCAACAGGAACTGCCTGAGTTGAGCCTATGAAGGGCTGGGGGAGGGGTATCATCCTGCAGACTCTGGGGGCTTCCCAGGCCCAGCCCCCAGCCCCTGCCAGTCACCAGCCACCAGGGATGCCGCCTTCCAGGCAGGCTTGTAGGGAGTTGGCGCTGGAGAGGCCCATGCTGCCAGGCAGCTGGCAGACGCTGGATTAACCCTGTATGTACCCTGGCTAACCTCAGGACGGGCTGGCTCCAGAGTTCGGCAGTGTATGTAGGCCCAGTGGGCATCTTTTTGCCCAAAGAGCCCCCAAGCCCACACTGCCTGGGGGGAGGATAGGTTGCCTGAGCAGAGGCCTGTGGCCGGTTGACTGGCTGGCTTCCAGAGAGTTGGGTGGAACCAAGATTCTCCTCTCAATCTGACTGGATTTATCTCTGGAGCTGGGACCAGGGGCTCCAGTGTGTATGCTGACCCAGGTACAGCTGACCCTGCAGAGCATGGGAGAGATCTGGCTTTGCCCAGGGCAGCAGCCTCTTCCCTTAGGGGAGAGGAGTAGGCTAGCCAGGCCCCAGGACCTGGGTTTGGGCTCACCTCACTTGGCAGCTGTTGCCCAGAAGGTACTCCCACACCACGCCCTCCACTCCTGCTCTCTGGTACCTTGATGGCTGATCTGGGCTGGGTACTTCAGCTGGGTACCTAGGACTAACCTCATTTCATGTCTCTGTTGCAGAACACTGATCTGTTTGCGATGATTGAAAAGATGCAGGTGAGGAGGGTTATAGACAGAAGCCTGCCTTGGAGAGCCTCAGAGCTCCCTGGGATGGCAGGAGACCCTCCCAGTCCATCCTCCCAGCCCCACACCTCTATGAGGACAGGCAGGGAGCTTCCATAGACCATCCCAGGGCAAGAGAGTGACAGCTGGCAGTTCAGAGTCATCTGTTTGGAGGGCACTGCTAGTGCCCAGCCTCTGCTCTGACTGGAGACCCATCCAGGCTCTAGCTCCCATCCCCATGTAGGTCCTGGTAGAGCTGTGGTCGGCCCCCTCACCCCCCACTCACGCACCATTCCCACCAATGGGAGGAGGCATGCAGGAGCTGCAGGACCCTCTTGCGGAATAGAAGTGGGAGAGATGCCAGGCGCCTAGAGGCGGGGGAGGTGTTAATGAGCCAGGCAGCCTGGGGTGCAGCCCTGCCCCAAGCCTCCCCCTGGTCCTATTCCCACCCCAGCCCTTGTCTGTGTGTTGCATGAGTGTGTGTTGGGAGGCGGTCAGGGTTTGTACCAGAGGTAGGGGTCTCTCACTGATGTCAGCTCCTCCTCCCAAACCCTGCTCTCACTGCCCCCTTCTTCTCTCTCAACTTTTGGCCCCCATCCTCCTCTTACATATCTGCATTGATGTAGCAGCCCCCCCACATGCCTTGCACAAGCAGGTGTGCATGCCACCCCTGCCCCCACTCCCTGCATCCTGTACAGAGCCCCTAGCTGCTCCCTGCTGCTGAGGGCAGGACTGCGGCCCTCCAGAGAAGCCCCAGGAATGAGCCATGCAGCGCCCTGCCCCAGGAGCACCCCCACATTGGCCGGCCCTCCTGGGGCTTGCTCTTCTGCACAGCAGAAGGGAGGCTCTGTCAGGGAGGGCACGGGGCACAGGCCTGGGAAGATGTAACAGTGCGTTGCTTTCTCTTGTAGGGAAGCAGGATGGATGAACAACGATGCTCCTTCCCACCACCCCTCAAAGTAGGTGGGCCAGGCCTGGCTGTTGGAGCAGACTCCGTGCTGGGGGGTGGGATCTGAGTACCACTACTGCCCATTCTGGAGGAGTCCTCCTCTGTGCCAGCCTCTGTGAGCAGGGGTCCAGCTCCCTGCTCCAGGGGCTCTGAGATGAGGAGAGCCTCCCTGCTGTACCTGGGCCTCAGAGCAGCTTCTCCCTGCCTGCACCACCACACTCGTCCCTTGCTCCAGGCCTTGTCCCTTGGGCATTTTTCCTGGGATCTGTGCCCACAGCAGGAAAGATCCTGCCGGGACCTTGGCGGTGAATGGGCTCCTGCTCTTGAAGCTCCCGTCTGGGGCGGGAGGTGTGCACAGCTCCCCCAGATGGGATATGGTTCCTGGTGATTCAGGATCCCCAGCAGACTAGCAACTGACCCTGAGGGAATAGGCCCAGGGCAGAAGAGACGTCCTGCTGTGTCCAGGTTAGGGTTTTCAGTGTGGGCCTCAGACAGCAGTGTTGGTGCCACTGGCTTCTGAGCAGTTGGCAGTTGAGGGGGCACTAGACCATTGCACTGGAAACTGTGGGCAAGAATCAGACTGTAACAAGCCTCCAGATGATCCAGAGGGGCATCAACGAGCCTTCTGGCTCCAGGTAGAGAGCACGCCAAAGAAGCCAGCGCAGTGAGCTTAGCTGCCCCCTCCCAACCTTGTGGGGGCGCTCTGGGCCAATCCCTTCATGTAGAAGTTGAGGGCTGAGGCCTTGGCCCTGTCCTTCTAGCCCCGCAGGGCTGGCTGAGTATGTCTGCTGCAAAGCCTGGTAGGTGTGGAGGGTCAGGCCCTAGCTCCCTGAGCCTCTACCTGCTTATATTTTGCAGACGGAGGAAGACTACATTCCCTACCCGAGCGTCCACGAGGTACCCAGCTGGATTCTGAGTCCACCCTTCCCTCCGTCCTGGGGAAGTCCTCATGCAGGCCATCTGGACACTGAGGTCCTCTTCCCTCCCAGAAGCCTGACTGCAGGCTTTGCCTTAGGGGCTGGAGGCTCAGTTTTCAGACCAGGACTTCAGAGCCTGCTGGAGCCCTTAAGCTTTCTAAGCCAAAAGTCAGCCTCCCGGGCAGGCGGGTACTCCCAGGTCCCCTGCCTGCCCGCACCCATCTCTTGAGGGTGGGGCAGGGGGATAGTGTGGCTGGGTCTGGGGGAAAGGGCTGCAGCAGGGACCCTCCTGCCCCAGGAAGATAACTGTGAACCTTGGGGACAACACAGTGCTAGGTTGTCCTGTGGTACCCCTTAGCCATGGCAGAAGTGCCCAGATCTGAGTTGGAGGGTATTCTGGAGTCCCTAGAGGGGTGCTGTATGGAGTGCCTTTCAGCCAAGCCCTGCTTCAGGTCCTAGGGCGAGAAGGACCCTTTCCTCTCATCCTGCTGCCCCAGTTTGGGGGCTACTGGATTGAAGGCACCAACCACGAAATCACCAGCATTCCTGAGACACAGCTGCTGCAGTCACCCACGACCAAGGTGAAACTCGAGTGCAACCCCACAGCCCGCATCTATCGGAAGCACTTTCTTGGCAAGGTGGGTCCCAGTGCAGCCTCCTGGGAGACAGCAGAGCTCTTGGACAGAGTCTAGTGACAGTCCCAGAGCCCCAGCGGTCATTCTAGGGGCCATGCATGTAGATTTGTTCCTTCATTCATTCGACAAACATTTATTGCAGAGGCAGTGGGTTGCCAGAGTGGTTAACTAAAGAGATTACCAGTTTGAGTCCTGACTTAGCCACTTACCCCATGGGACATCAGGCACGTTGCTTAACTTCGGCGTGCCTCAGTTTCCACGTCTAAGGAAATGGTGGTAACCACACCCTTTCTGAGGGTGCTGCAGGGCTCTAATGAGACCATGCTTGTGAGACGTTTGGAATGGCGTCTCCAGCGGGGTAGCTGCTTATCAGAGCGAGCTCCAGTTGTCTTTAACTACCCTTTGCTAGGTAGCAGGCATACACAGCAGTAAACGAAGTGGACCCAGGCCAGCTATTGGGCAGCTCAGGGTGGGGGCTGGGAGGACAGGCATGTGACATCTTGACCTGGACTGATGTAACCACAGCCCTGCAGCAGGGACCCTGCCTAGTAAAAGCTCCCAGCATCATCACCCAAGGGTATTCGCAAGGATTAATGGGGGAGGCTGTGGGAGCTGGAGGGGAAGTTCCTCACCAGGCGCTGCCTAAGTCAGTCGTTGACAACCAGAGGAGGGGAGCATCCTGTGGGCTTGGGAGCCTCGTGACCTGGGTGTGAATCTAGGCTCTTTCTTCTAGTGACGGTCGTATGCTGGGGAAGTTATTTAATCTTGAGCCTGCTTCCTCATCTGTCAGCCTGAAGCGCTAAAAGCACACATAAAACGTAGAGCCAGGTCTGACATAGTAAACACACAGTTAGCCTAAGCTGCTAGTCCTCTCCGTGCTCCGTGCTCCGTGCTCCGTGCTCTCGTGATCTTGCTCTGCGAGAGCAAGATCGCCCTGTGTTCACGCCAGGCTACTGAAGCACAGAGAAGCGAACTGAGTCAGTCCAGGGCCCAGTTACTGAGCAGGCTTGGACCAGCTCTGGCTGACCTTCCATTAAAACATACTGTGGGAGTTGAGGGTGGTGGTGCACCGCTGTGTTCTCAGTTGGGGAGGCTGAGGCAGGAAGATCACTTTGAGTTTGAGGTCAGCCTGGGCTACACAGCAACAGCCTGTCACAAAAACATGCTGTGGAAGATTGGGCTGTGTGTGTGTGTGTGTGTGTGTGTGTATTGGGAGCCTGAGGTAGTTCCCTGTGGGGCTGGGAAGCTATATGACTTGAGCCTGGGAAATACTAATGCTAACCATTAGGGCTGGGGACTAACCCATCCTTCCAAAACACACACGCTGACCCATCCAGGTTCAGGAACCATTGCCTGGGGACAAGCAGGCCTGAGATGCCATCTCCCAGCTCAGCCCTTTGGGTGGGTGTCACAGGCACCCACTATGCAGAGGCTCACTGTGGTCTGGCAGTAGTGGGCTCCCGGGGACCGTGTGTGCCCGGCACATAGTTGGCGCACAGAAAAGTTTGCTACGGGAGAGATGTATGACAGAGGAAGGCGTAGGCTTTGAGCATGGCAGGATCTGAGGAGTCAGAGGGGACATGATGACAGGGTCAGGTTAGCAGACACAGGAGAGGGGGCCCAGCAGCTGGCAGAGAGCAAGGCCATTGCCCGAGTCCAGGTGGGGTGCCCAGGGTGGCTGTTGAGCTCTGTTCTGGCAGGACGAGGAGAGGAGAGGAGAGTGACTTTGGGGATTGACAACCTGGGATCCTGAGCCCATGTCCCACTGTGCCGCTGGGATCCTCTGCACTTGGGGGAAGACCCAGGAAAGTCCCTAACCCCTGGACTTCTCGATAAATGCTTGCCACTCTTCTGTAGGCAGTGCCAAGCATTTGGGGGGTCCTGCCACTGTGTGCCTCGGCAGGCCTGAGGAACTCTCTGCCCCAGGCTGAGCGCCCCTGAGCTGTTGATTTGTGGGCACATCCTCTGGCCCCCACCTCTTCTGGGTGCGGCTGAGCACAGGTGTTCGTATTTAAACAGAGTTTACTTCCGGGATGATTCCCAGGATTGGGGTGACTGAAGAGCCGGGGCTCGGGCCAGCAGAGGGGACCAGGGCCAGGCCGGGGTGGAACCTCTTTGCATTTTAGCCCTTGGCTTTGGGACTTCTGTGGCCGGAGGTGCCAGGCCTGGGCTCCCATCTGCAGGTGCTGCCCTTGCCACAGCCGCCCCATGGCCTTGCAGAGTGCCCGTTTGCAGCCCTTGTCCCCCTCTAGGTGAAGCAGGAGGGCGGGAATCTGCCAGATCAGTGCCCTATGTGCTACGGGATGCTTCACTTCCTGTTTCTCCCAAGCCCTGGCTTCAGGAGCCACAGAGCCCCAGCTTGAGCTGGTTGGCTCACAGTCTGTCTGTCTGTCTCTCTGTCTCTTTCTCTCTCCTGTGTACTGGAGCCTGAACCCAGAGCCTTCACACATGCTAGTTGGTCTTTTCTTATTGAGCACCTCCTGTGTGTCACATCGGAGAGGGCAGAGGCCAGGAGACAGTTCTGCAGGTACATGTGTGGCCCTGACTTTGCCGAGGGAGAGCCAAGGTGACTACAGACACTGAGCACTGCGCTGGTGCCAGGCACGTTACCTTTTACCTGTTACCACCAAGGTAGATGTCCTTGCTCCCATTTCATAGACTAGGAAAGTGAGGCACAGAGAGGTAAGGTGCCCTTCTCAAGCTGCCCTGCTGGGAAGACATAGATCTACCTGATGCAGAGTATGGGCACTTGCTGCTTGGCGAAGACCCAATCTTGGGTTGAGCTGGCATTTTGGTTTCTGGAAACCTCAAGCTGAACCTCCTCACCACAGGAACATTTCAATTACTACTCACTGGACACTGCCCTGGGCCACCTGGTCTTCTCACTCAAGTATGATGTCATCGGGGATCAAGAGCACCTGCGGCTGCTGCTCAGGTAAGGGTGGTGTCAGGGGGACCCTGGCACAGCAAGGGGTGCTGAGGGCCTAAACTGTGCCCACCTCATTCTACCCATTCTCCATGTTGAGGCCTGGGGAGGAGTTGGGGAGGAGTAAGTTAGTGTCTCTGCAGCCCTGGTGCCCATTGTCACCTTTGGTCTTCCCTGTGGTCATTTTGTAGAAGGGCCCCTTTCCCCTGTCCCCCTGTCCAGCTGCTCACTGTGCGGCTTTGTCCTCGCAGGACTAAGTGCCGGACATACCACGATGTCATCCCCATCTCCTGCCTCACGGAGTTCCCCAATGTGGTCCAAATGGCAAAGGTGAGGCACCGGCGGCCAGCTCTCGGTGCTGGGAGCCCTGGGGCTGTGGGCGGGGCTGCAGCTTGGCTGTGGGCGGGGCTGCAGCTTGGCTGTGGGCGGGGCTGCAGCTTGGCCCAGGCCTCCCTCTGCGGCAGCTGCAGCCTGCCTGCTCGCACCTCAGCCTGTCTCTCAGCCCCACCTGCCGCTCGCCCCACTGCGTGTGCCTGTCCCCAGCACCTGTCCCTTGTGTCCTTTGATGCTCTGTAGCACCTCAGACCCGGGGACCCAGTCCTCTGAGCCCCATTCTGAACAGCAGCCTCTGCGGTCCTCAGCACAGCCTGTGCTCTCTGCTGCTGTCCCTGGACTTGGCCACTGAGGCCAGAGCCCCTCCCCTCTCTTTGCCCCTCTCATGGCCTCTGTGGTCTCCTCCTGCAGCTGGTGTGTGAAGACGTCAATGTGGATCGATTCTACCCTGTGCTCTATCCCAAGGTATAACCGGCTCTCAGGCAGCTCGCTGAGGGTGGTTGGGTGCCTGCTTATGCCAGGTATTTTTCCTTGGTCTCTGTTTGATCCTTGCAATAACCCTGCCAGGTCCACAGTCCGCAGAAGAGGAAGCCCAGAGAGGTTCTAAAGATGCACAGCTGATAAGGAGGCCTGCATTTATACCCAGGGGTGTCTTTCTTGCAGGCAGGCCAGCCAGGAGGGGATTCCTGGAAGAGGTGGCCCCTGAGTGACATGTAAGCCCTCGTGGCTGAAATCTGGAGTAAAAAGCTCCTGAGGGGTGTTTGGAACCGGAAAAGGTGTTCGGAAGGAAGAGTCCCTCAGAAGTTTGGTTCCACCCCTTGGTTACAGAGGGGAAACTGAGTCCCTGGAGGCTGGGCCGGAGGTTCCTGGAGGCCTGCTGCAGGGTCCCCAGCAAGTCGGTGGGACTTGACAAACGTGCAGTGAAGTGGGTGTGCCAAGCAGCAAGCTGGGTGTTAGACCAGAGTGGGGGTGGCCTCGGCCACAGCCAACAGGGGCTCAGGGCCAACTCGGGAATCTGGCAGATCTGGGTTGTGTCTACTCCTGCAGACACTTGCAGGCTGGTGACCCAAGGCAGGCTGCTGAGGCTCTCTAACACCAAGATGCAGGGGGCCGGTGGAGTGTCTCCCCATCCCCATCCCCATCCCCATCCCCATCCCCCATGGGCTTACTTTGAGAATCGAGAGTGATCTGTGCAGTGCAGGGCACGTGGGGAGAGCTCAGCAAACAGCAGTGTGCAATGCTGCGCACCCTGTGCTGTCCCACAGGCGTCCCGGCTCATCGTCACCTTTGATGAACACGTTATCAGCAATAACTTCAAGTTCGGAGTCATTTATCAGAAGCTTGGGCAGGTGTGCCCCTCCCCACCCTGCTTCCGCCCCGCCTCGCCCTCCACCTGCTCCTTCAGACCGTCGTAGCAGGGCAGAGCGCCTGCCAGGGCACTGGTCTCCCAGAAGCCCTTGGGGCCTCCCTGGGAACAGCTGAGCGGCCACCTCTGCTGTCCCCAGCACAGCCCGTCCTCCTTTCTGCTGCTGTCCCCCAGACTTGGCCGTTGAGGGCATGGTGGGGGTGCTCAGGAGCTGCAGCTCCGTGACTGTGACTGTACGTGACCGCACCCCTGTGTGGTCCCCAGACCTCCGAGGAAGAGCTCTTCAGCACCAATGAGGAAAGCCCTGCCTTTGTGGAGTTCCTTGAGTTTCTGGGCCAGAAGGTCAAACTGCAGGACTTCAAGGGGTGAGTCTGGGGGTGGGGGAGCAGAGCTAGTCTGACCCCTGGTCCTTGGCAGGGGAGCCCCGTCCTGGCCCCACAGAGGCCTGGCTGGGGCTGGAGACTGAGCCGTGGCCTGGGGATCCTGGGGCAGGTTCCGAGGAGGCCTGGACGTGACCCACGGGCAGACGGGGACCGAGTCTGTGTACTGCAACTTCCGCAACAAGGAGATCATGTTTCACGTGTCCACCAAGCTGCCCTACACAGAAGGGGACGCCCAGCAGGTAGCCTGGGCACCCATCTACCCGCTTCCCACTGTCCACCTGTGCCCCCCACCTGCCCGTGTAGTATCCATCATGCCGGGCTCCGTTCCAGGCCCTGGGATTCAGGCACAGAAGCCAACCCTCCCACCAGGCGTGGGGCAGGGGAGAGAGGCTGCTTCCATCCAGGAAAGCCTCCACTTCCACATCTGCAAAATGGGGATAGCATTGGGGCTGACCCAGTAGGTGAGGGAAGGGACACATACTAAATGACTGGAATCAGAACGGGGAGTGCCAGGAGCCCAGTGAAGCCAAGCTAGTGCTTTTGTGGGGAGCAAGGAGTGTTAAGGGGGTCACATGGGGGCACTGAGACTTGGCAGCCGTGGGAGTCAAGAAGTGTTCAAGATCAAGTGACTTCGGCTGCAGGGGAGCTGGGAGGAGGAGAACAGCCTCCGCAGAGACCTGAGGTCAGGAGGCTCCCGGGAGCCGATTACAGCACTGGGCACCTTGTCCTGACAGCCCACCCTGCGGATAATGTGAGGAAAAAGTGGAGGTCGTTGTTCCTTATTTTTAGTGTTTTTTTTCTTCTCATGAGGTCCTCTGCTCATTTTAGCAACACGAGTACACAGAGAGGCGAGCTTTTCTATCCAATGAAGGGGTATTTTCAGGGAAATCTAGATGGGAGAAGGGCTGAAAGGTAGGGCCTGGACACCAAGAGACCTGGGTTCGAGTACCCCAGCTCACTGTTGGCAGTCACTTCTCTGTTGGCGTTGATTTACTCAACTGTCACAGTTACCAAGAAAACAAATGTAATAAGTTACTACTACATTTTTGGGGGCCCCAAACCCTTAAAGGCATGCTCTGCCCCACCCGCAAGCCTTCCTGCCCTCTGGCCTTTGCTCCCCCACCATGGCCAGGCTGTGAAGGCCCGTGGTGGCCCTGTGCTCAGTTGCAGCGGAAGAGGCACATCGGGAACGACATCGTGGCCGTGGTCTTCCAGGATGAGAACACGCCCTTCGTGCCAGACATGATTGCATCCAACTTCCTGCACGCCTATGTGGTGGTGCAGGCCGAGGGGGGTGGCCCCGACGGGCCCTTCTATAAGGTGGGTGACCTCAGAGAGCCTTGCAGGGGCCAGCAGGGCCCCGGGCGTGGCACTGCCTCATAGGCAGACCTCTGTGAGCCTCAGTTCTTCCCATTTAGTGGGGTGATTATGGGACAGTCGGAGGAGGGAGGGCTCCTATCATGCCCTCCTGCTCCCAAGAGTTTAGCCCTCGAAGAGGATGTCTACCGTTTTCTTCCTTCCCATCTGGGGTCTCCTTTCTCCACTTCCTTTAACTTCCTTTACCATGATCCATGGCCCTACCTTTCAAATACAGGGCAGAGGTGGGGGAGCTGGAATTTTGGGGAAAAGGATTGATCCTCCCAGCAGGCACAGAGCCTTGCTGACACGACCAGAGGCGAATTAGGGCTTCCTGGCTACTGTGGGAACAAGCAGGCTCCAGGCTCCACAGGGACAGCCGTCCTCCTTTCCAGGTCTCAGTCACCGCGAGAGACGATGTGCCCTTCTTTGGGCCCCCTCTGCCAGACCCTGCTGTGTTCAGGAAGGTGAGAAGCCCCCCTCAGCCCTGGCATGGGGGCAGGACTATATGGGGACCCAGGGCAGGGCATACATTTGTCTTGTGAGGCCCTGAAGCCCTGGCTTTTGTCTTCATTTTATCAAAATGTGGCCTGGCTTTTGTCTTCATTTAGAGCAAAAGCTTGTTTTGTTTAGTTTTTTTTTTTTTTTTTTTTTTTTGTCTTTTTTGAGACAGGGTCTGTCTCTGCAGTTCAGGCTGGCCTCAAGCTCACTTTGTAGCCCAGGCTGGTCTTGAACTCACAACGATCCTCCCACCTCAGCCTCCCGAGTGCTGGGAATACAGGCGTGAGCCACCATGCCTGGCTCTTGTTTAGTTTTTGAGACAGGGTCTCATTGTGTAATCCAGACCGGTGTTGAACTGGCTTATGTAGTGCTCTGATTCAAGGCCATCCTTCTGCCTCAGCCTCCTGAAGTATTTTTTTTTTTTTTTCTTCAATAAGGCCACAGAATAATAAACTGCATTTCTCATAGCAGACAACTTTAAATGTTTGGGGCAGGGTACGTGTCTCTGTCACCTCTTAGAAACACCCTGCATAGTGTGCTCTGCCCTCTAGGACAAGGCAATAGATCACCCTGGCCCTACCAGTGGGCTTTGCTCCTCTGAAGGGTGGGCGGCTGTGAAAGGACACAGGGTCCCTCACAGGTGCCCAGGCTGAGATCTGAGCCCCAGAGATGCCCTTTGGGGAGGGTCAGGTGACCCCCGGGTCCCCAGAAGGCTCAGCTCAGGAGCTCAGTGCTGACCTACCTTGGCTCAGGCCCTTGCTGGTGCTCCTCTGACTCCCCTTTCTTATCTCCTCCACATGGGGGCTCCCAGGGGCCCGAGTTCCAGGAATTTTTGCTGACAAAGCTGATCAATGCTGAATATGCTTGCTATAAGGCAGAGAAGTTTGCCAAGCTGGAGGTGAGGATGGGCTGTTGGGGCTGACTTACCCTTCTGGTTTAGAATTTCTGCCCCCACCCTACAGGGGAAGGGTGCGTTCAGACATTGTGGGTATGTGTGCACGCGTGTGCGTGTGTGTGTATCCACGAGCAGATTCTGGATGGCAGCAGGGTTCCATCAAGGGAGAGGAACCAGGAGGACAGAGCCCCGAGGTGGCTGGGAGGTGGGCAGGCCGATGCTCTGCTTGGAGGGAGCTGGAGCATGGGGACCGGAAGCAAGATCTTGCTGAGGAGCCCTGGGGGGCTTTGTACTTCCGCTGACCGAGAGGAAGTGGCCCTCACCTCGGAGAGGGACCAGGGTACCAAGACATGAGCTGAGGGACAGGGGTTGTCTTCCCTGATGCCCGGCCCACAGGAGCGGACCCGGGCCGCCCTCCTGGAGACGCTGTATGAGGAACTCCACATCCACAGCCAGTCCATGATGGGCCTGGGCGGCGACGACGACAAGATGGAAAACGGAGGCGGTGGAGGCGGTTTCTTCGAGTCTTTCAAGGTGAAGGGTCCCCGGGGTCTCCTGGGCGGAGACAAGGCTCTAGGAGGGCCCAGGGTGGCCAAAGGGGAGCTGGGGGGGGAGTGGCCGGGGAGGGGGGGGGACTGCCGAATTTAGGGTTCCTTTGAAGCAGGTTAGAGGTTAGATTGCCTTTGGGAGCATAGACTTGGGGGTGTGGTCTGCCTGGGGTAATTATTGGGTCTGGGAGATTAAGAGGGCTCTGATTGGGCAGGAGTTAATGATGGAGGTGGGGCCTAAATGTAGGGCGGAGCCCACCTGGAAATTCATAAGGCTGGAGTCCTCTGGGGGGCAGCAAGGTGCTGCTGGTGCCCTGGGCTGTGGCTTCCAGAGGGACTAGCAGAGAGAGGGGGGAGAGAATTCTGCCTTGTGAGGGAAAGAAATAGAGGTCCCAGAGGGCTGAGTGGCCCGTGGAGAATGACCCATCCTGTATGACCTGCCCTGGCTGTCCCTGGCCTAGCTTAGTGCTAGGCGTGCAGACTCCCTGGTTCAGATCCCAGCTCCGACATCTACCAGTTCGGGCATGCTCTGAGCCCTGGTTCCTTTATCCGTTTAGTAGGGTAATGGAGTAATGACCACTTACCTCATCTAATTGTTGAGCTATTTGTAAAGCGATTAGATTAGTGGAATGCAAGTTAAAAAGCAAAATGCAAAACCCTGGCTTCTCCTCAGCAATAATTGTCCAAAATAAGAGGCAGAGGAGATGAAAGCACCACTTCCCCTCAGCGGGGCCTGCACTCACCCAGGCTGCAGCCCCAGGTCATGGTCTCGGTGCTCCTGTCCGTTCACCCACAGGAGGAGGACTTCTGGTCCTCCAGGTGCCCAGCCAGGCCGCTTGAGTCTCAGCATCACCCAAGGCAGCCTTGAGGTCAGAGCTGTGGGCCTGCACAAAGGTGTCAGCCCAGCAGCACAGGAGCCCTGCCCTGACTGGGGTGGAACAGGGGGCTGCACACAAGCCCCGAGTATGTTCTTTGAAGGGGACTTCAGGGGTGTCACATCTACTAGGTGGCAGACAGGGGACCCAGGTTAGATTGAAGAATTTCTGAGGCAGCAGAATCCACAGTTCAGCCCCTAGGATTTGCCATATGGGCTGTAAACTCACTTCTGCCTCAGTTTCACCTCTTGTAAAATGGGCATGATGATAGCCCCCACCTGGCATGTGGACGTGAAATTCCTCGCCCCATAGTAAGCATCCTGAATATGGAGGTTAGCCTGAAAAAGTCAAGGATGCCAGGAGAGGTAGGAAAGAAGGAAGGAAGGGGGAGGGGAAAGGAATGAGGGAAAGGGAGCTTCGACACCCTAGAAAGAAACTGAGGTTTCTCAGGGCTCTCTGCGTGCACACACAGGCACGGCTCAGGGACTTCTGCTCTCCTTACGGCAGCCACGTGAGGAGGTGCCACATGCAGTAGCCTGTGTGACTCACTCGGGAGCTCGGGGAGGCAAAGCGGCTTGCAGGCCCCCCACAAGCAAGGCCCAAACCGCCCTCCGCCCTGTGTATGGCTGCCTCTTGTGTGGCACATAGGGAAACTGAGACCTCACAGGGGGATGGGTCTGCCTAGGGTCACTCAGAGTGACATGGGGGGGAGGGACCAGTTGCCTGGGCTCCTGGGGTCCCCCAACATGGGGGCTTGTGGGAGCCGCGCCTCCTCCACCCTCCTGTCTCCCCACAGCGGGTCATCCGGAGTCGCAGCCAGTCCATGGATGCCATGGGGCTGAGCAACAAGAAGCCCAACACGGTGTCCACCAGCCACAGCGGGAGCTTCACACCCAACAACCCTGACCTGGCCAAGGCGGCTGGAATAGTGAGTGTCCCCTACTCCCCCTGCCCTCCCCAGGGCCCTCAGTGCTCCCTATCTTCTCAGGTCTACCCCCCCCCCATTGCCCTGCTGTCCACAAGCCCTCTCTGGGCTTTGGACTCGGCCCACCTCGGCCCATGGGGGATTAGATGTCCTGGCCAGGATACTGGGGGCTGAGAGCCCTTCCCCAGCTCCTGGGTCCTCTCCTCTCCCTGGCCCTCTATTCAGTCAGGTGTCACCCTCTACAGGTTAGCTCAGGGGCAGCCTCTGTGTCCTGTTTCTCAATGAGTTCCTGGTGTCTGTTGTGTGCTAGGAATTTGGCTGTTGTGTGGTACCTACTGTCAAGCCTCGGATTCCTGGGGCACCTTCTGTGTGTCAGGACCGGGGCTGCTGTGTGTATATGCATTTTGTGAGCACCTACTGTGTGCCTGGCCCTGAGTTCCCATGAGCACCTACCATGCACCTGCCCCTGGGCTGATGTGTTGGGTACCTGCCGTGCCCGGAAATGGATTGTCGCGTGGGCATCAGCTCTGTAAGCACCAACTGCTGTGTGTGCACCTTCTGTGCGTCAGGACCTGGGCTGCTGTGTGAACATGTGATGTATGCTAAGCCCTGGACATCAGTGAGCACCTACTGTGTGTCAGGAAGGCACTGCTGTGTGGGCATTTCCTCCGTCGCCCCTCCTACTGTGTGTCTGCAGCAGCCAAGACCTTTGTGCCTGTGGCTATTAACGTGCCGGGAACCAGGCTGCTGTGTGGGCACCTCCCGAGGGAGCCCTTCTTGTGTGACTACTGACCGTCGGCCAAGTCCTGTGGGCATCTACGCCTCCCACAGTAGGCGCGCTGGGTGTGCAGGAGAAACAGGCCTGCGTCATGGACTAGCTGCTTTGCACCACCTTGTGGCCACCCCAGACACTGCATCCGCTGCTGTGCTCCCCACTCACCAGTCAGCCACCCACGCACCATCCACCTACGCACCCATCTCTTCACCCACCCATGTATCCACCCTCTCATCTGCCCACCCATCCATCCCCCTCCTTACCCACCCATCTACCTATTCATCTACCATCCATCCACCAATCTACCCGCCAGGCCATTCTATCCACCAATCCATCGATCCATCCATCTGCTCACCCACGTGTCTATCCACCTACCATGTGTCCACTTCCCATCCATCCACACAACCCACCAGTCCATCCACCCAGTAACCTACCCATCCATCCACCCACCCACCCACCCATGTATCTACCCACCTGTCCCTGCGTCTGTTCATCTATCCATCCTCCATCCATCCATCCATCCATCCACTCATCCATCCACCCATCCATCCATCCATCCATCCATCCATCCATCCGTCCGTCTATCCATCCATCCATCCACCCATCCATCCATCCATCCTCTCATCCGTCCACCCACCCTTGCACCCCTCCTCCCTGCCTTCCTCCTTTTCTTATTGACTGTCTGCTGCATGCTAACCCAGTACTCAGTGCTGTGAGGCTGCGTCATGTGGCAGGAGGCACCGGCACGCCCCCTCCACCTGCCCTGTGGTCTGTGTGGCTAGGGAAGCAAGGCAAGGCCTCTGCTGTCCAGCGGTCACCAGGTCCACTGTCATCTGAGGAGCTGGCCCGACCTCCCCCAGTGCTCCCTTCCTCCCTGCTAGAACGGTCCAGCCTCCTGTGGGTGGCCGCAGAGGGGTCCCGGGGACAGGGCCAGGCCGGCAGCACCCACCGTGGCAGTAACCAGACCCATTTCTGTTTTTGTTTTTTGCACAACTCTCCCTCTCTTCGTGTTGCTGCCTTTTCTCGCTCTTCTCGCCCCCCTCTCCTCCTGCTCACCTCTCTCTGCCTTCTGGAACCTTCTTTTTATTTCTTCCCCCCACCTGTCTGTACCATCCCCCCGCCACACTTCTTGTCCTGATCTTTGCTTCTTTCCTCTCTGTCTGTACTCTGCACTCTGGGCCCGTTTCTGCCCACCCGTCCATCTCCGTGTCCCCTCTCCCGTGTGCTCTGTGACCCCGGCTCTCTGCTCTGTCCGTCCCGTTTCTCTCCCCCCGTCCTTCCCCTCTGTCTCCCGCTTCGCCCGCCTCGTGTTTCCCTCTGTCCTTCCTCCTTCCTTCGCTCCTGACCTCTGTCTCTCTCGCTCGCTCTCTCTCTGCCCCTGCCCTCTGCCACCTGCCAGTCCTTGCTTATTCCTGGGAAAAGTGCGAGTAGATTCGGACGCCGGGGCAGTGCCATAGGCATAGGAACCGTGGAAGAGGTTGTCGTCCGCAGGGCCACCGGCTCTGGAGGCTGCTGCACGCGCTGTTCTCCGCTGGCTCTCAGGACGGAGGCCATATTGGGGACGTGGCTCCCTGCCCAGGGGCATGCAGGACAGAGTGCCAGCACCTCTCTGCACCTGCTTCCGGGCCTGGCAGCTGGGCCGGAGCCAGTGGCACTTGCCAGGGGCTTCTGACCCTCCCTGGTCGCTGCCGGGGTCCAGAACCCAAGACCCTCAGCCCAGCTGCACGGCCCCAATATCGCTGGCTCTGCATGCAGCGCCACCCCTCCCTCTGCCCTGGCCCCCTGCCCACCATGAACTGGTCTGAAGGTCCTGCCCCTCCGTGCCTCCTTGGGGCCCGCTTCCTGCCTGGGGCATCCACCATGGTGTGTGTGTGGAAACTGGGGTGACCTTTCAGCTGCTGCTCCCCCAGACAGTGTGGAGGTCCTGAGAGGGGCAGGGCTGACACGAGGTGAGGGTGGAGGCTGGGGATGTCATCTTCTGCTCCTCACCGCCCTCAGACTGCAAGTCCCTCAGAGCCCAGGGGACTGGCTTGGCGGTCATTCTGAGGACCTGATCTCGTCCTCTCCCAGCCTGGAGTGGCCGCGCCCACCCCCTGGCCAGGCCCTTCTCCTACACTGAGATCCAGGGCAGCTCTGCTGGGCACCCCTCTTCTCGCTGCCAGCCGGGAGGGCTGCCCAAATGCCACCTCTCCTCCTTTCTTGCTCATCACTGCTGCTTTGGGGTGGGGGAGTGGGGGGCACAGGGGCTCCCAGGGCAGCTGGGTGCTGAATTGGGGCCTCTCCCTGCAGTCCCTGATTGTCCCCGGGAAGAGCCCCACAAGGAAGAAGTCGGGCCCGTTTGGCTCTCGCCGCAGCAGTGCCATTGGCATCGAGAACATCCAGGAGGTGCAGGAGAAGAGGTGGGTGACACGCCACGGCAGAGCAGGCAGTGGGCAGTGCCCACCTCTCTGCCTCCTCTTCCCTTCCTGTCCCATGACAGTCCTGCTGGCTCCCTCGGGGCCCACCCTTGCACCTGGAGGCCTGAGGGGCAGAGGCCTTGCCCAGGTTACATCACCAGTGAGGGGCAGAGCTGGGATCTGAGCCCTGGCCTGTCTGGCCATCCCGCGTCCACTGCCCACTAGGTGTCAGAGTGAGTGCCGGTTTCAGGCAGGCCGCAGATGGGCTGGAGTCTGTGAGCATGTGCGTTGGCCGCTGTGTGCGGAGAGTGGCTGCTGGACACCAGGATGTGACCGTGTGCTTGGCTGATTCCTCTGAGCTCCATTACCCCATCTGGAGCCCTGGGATAAGAAACCAGCACATGGTGTCTGTGACAGCTTGGTTCCATGCATGTGACGGGGACAGGGGCATTAAGAACACTCCAAGGAAAGAGCTGGCACTGTCCTCACTGCCACCAGATCTCAGAATGCCACGCCTTCTGAGTAGAAGTCTCGGCACTGCCCTGTCCTAGCTGGGTGTCCTGGGCGTGACCCTTCCCATCTGCGCCCAGGCTCACCCATCACAGGGAGATGTCACAGGTGGTTCCAGGGAGGTGAGCTTGTCCCATCCCTGTAGCTCCTTTCCTGCTCATTGGCCAGCTTGGCTGAGGAGGCCCAGGGACAGCAGCAGGCTGGCCCTCGAGTATACACGGTGTCTGTGACTACCTCTAGCTGCCTGGGCCTTGTCCTACCCTGAGGCCAGGCCCTGTGCTGAATCCCTTCCTGCCCCCACAGGGAGAGCCCTCCGGCTGGCCAGAAGACCCCAGACAGTGGGCACGTCTCGCAGGAGCCCAAGTCAGAGAACTCGTCCACTCAGAGCTCCCCAGAGATGCCCACGGCCAAGAACAGGTGAGGCTTGCAGCTCGCAGAACCAAGGCTTGGGAGTGGCGGGCTCATGCTTCCCATTCCCTGGGCCTGGAGGGCCTCGGGAGGCTGGGCATCCTCTTGGTTCCTCCTGTGACACTCACCTTCCAAGCCCTGGCGTGCGGGGTGAGCTGTGTGTGTCATTTCCGGATTGCAGAATAGGAGGGAAATAGAGCCTCGGCCTGCAGTGAGGCCTTATGGGAGCAGCATTTCAGGGGAGTCTTCAGGGACGGTAACATGAGAACTGAGAGCCCACTGAGCAGTCTGCCAGACTGGCCTGGCAGAGAGGAAAGGGTTCCAGGTCAGGAGTCCAGCAAGTGCAAAGGCCCTGAGGATGGAAAGAAGGGGGGCGTGCATTGGAGCCAGGAAAGCGAGGGGCTGGGCCTGGCAGACGCTGTGCCGGGCGGTGCAGGAATGAGAGGTGAGCAGGGGCTGCCTTGGCACCTCGAGGTGCGTGAGAGCTTTGAATTTTATCTGAAGACAGACAGGAGACTTTGTGAGATTTTTCTTCTGCACTGGGAATTGAGCCAGTGGTTCATGCTTCTACACTGAGCTTCGTCCCCATCCGGTATCCACTTTGAGTTTCATGGAGTGGCCCGGGCTGGCCTCAAACTCTTGATGCTTGTGCCTCTGCCTCTCAAGTAGCTGGGGCTCTAGGCAAGGCCGCCCGCCCGCCCGTGGGAGATGTGAGTCAGAAAGAGCAGGGCTCTTGTGGCCGGTTTGGCTCTGGGTGGCGCCCTGGGGAGGGCACAGCAGGGGCACAGGCCCAGGGGCTGCCTCTCCCTCTCCCTCCCCTCCCCTCCCCTCCCCTCCCCTCCCCTCCCCTCCCCTCCCCTCTCCCTCCCCTCTCCTCCCCTCTCCTCTCCTCCCCTCCCCCTCTCCCCCTCCCCCTCCCCCTTCCCCTCCCCCTCCCCTCCCCTTCCCTCTCCCCCTCCCCTGTTGGTTGCACCCTTCTCTGGGTTGGGCTCCAGAGAACCACGAAGCTGGGAAGGCATGGGCTGGGGAGGCAGGCAGCAGAGAGGCAGGAAGGTTGGGTGACGGGGACAGGGCACGCAGGACCTAGAGAGGGGTAAATATTTGAAAAGCAGATGGGCCTTTGGACCCATGAAAAGTGAGACTTCAGCAGGAGGCACAAATGCGCGAGTAGAAAGTGGAATTGTGGGGGCTGAGGCAGTGGTGGCGGGTGATCTCTGTCCTCCCTCCACGGCGGGTGACCTTGGCCTGTGTGCCCACCCTCTTGTGCCTCACGGTCTCCTCTGTAAGGCGGGTTGCACTGACTACTAAGCCGGGTGGTTGCTCTTTATCCGGGAAGCCAGGAGAGGGACTGGGAAGGACGGTGGCAATCGGGGCGCTCAGAGGCCCGAGGAGCTGTGGTGAGGCCGTGAGGGTGCCGCAGGCTGGGCCTCCTGGGCAGGGAGCGAGGGAGCAGGGCCCGGCCGGGCGCTGCGGGTGGACGCTGGCTAACGGGGCGCCGTCTGTGGCAGAGCGGAGGCGGCAGCCCAGAGAGCAGAGGTGCTGAAGGACTTTTCCCGCTCCTCGTCCAGTGCCAGCAGCTTCGCCAGTGTGGTGGAGGAGACGGAGGGCGTGGACGGGGAGGACACAGGCCTGGTGAGACACCCAAGGGCCCGGGTGTACCACGGCAGCCTGGCGCGGGGCCCTTGGGTCCCTGGAGATGCTCTGGCCGGAAGTACAAACCTGACCAAGGCTGCGATGTGATGAGGGGACCCAGGTCAGAGGAGTGGCACAGACTGACCCTCCTTGCTCTGGTCTCTCCGTGGCACCACAGGGCTGTCCAGAGAGCCCGGACTCGGGGCCTGTGAGGCCTCCTGAGCTTCTGCAGGAATGCATTTCCCGCATCCTTGCCCTCTGCCTGACCGACCTGCCCTTTCTGGCCAGGTTTCCCTCTGCCCTCTGAAAGCTGTCCTTGCCCGCCTGGTCCAGGCGAGTTAGCGGCCCCACTTTCCGCTCTGACAGACTTCACTGGGCATCTGCTTCTTTCCAACTCATTGCTGGCACTGCAGGGAATGGGGCAGGCCGTGACCCTGCATGCTGGCTTTCTGGACAGGGGTCTCAGCCCAGCTGGCCTCCTATTCCTCAGGCTCCCTGAGGGCAGGGCCTGGCCTGGCAGGGCATCCGTGGAAGTGTTGAGTGACCTGCCTCATGCGTGGGGCCAGTGAGCGGGGCTAACCTTCCCACCTCCCCAGGAGAGTGTGTCATCGTCAGGGACACCCCACAAGCGGGACTCCTTCCTCTACAGCACGTGGCTGGAGGACAGTGTCAGCACCACCAGTGGTGGCAGCTCCCCAGGTAAGGGGGTGTCCCCGCAGCCCGGGCAGGGCTGAGTTCAGGGACTGGATCTCATGTCCAGTGGCAGGCATGGGGTGTGGCTGTCCCTGCCATGGAGGACAGAGGGGTAGATTGCAGGACTGACTGCTGCTGGGAGACTCAGAGGGTGGTGAGGAGGTGCATGAGGGTGGGGGTCCCTAAGGAGGGACCAGGCGGGCCTGGGAGCACCGTCCCTCCTGCCCATCCCTGCCATCTCCCTGGCGCCTCCCCTGGCCAGTGAGGTGGCTCCCTCCTGCCCCCCTCCCAGGCCTCTCCCGCTCACCCCACCCAGATGCCAGCAAGGTGGGGGACTCTGCGTGTCCCGAGATCAAGATCCAGCTGGAAGCATCTGAGCCGCACACTTCCCAGCTGGTATGAGCAGCCAGCCACCAGGGGGACGTCCCCTGGCTGTTGGGAGGGGATCGAGGGTCCCAGAGGTCAGGGGTTCCCTCAGCCGGGACAGCCCGGACATAGCCATGACTTGTGCTTTCCTGTGTTTCCTCCGCCCTACCACCCGCCCTGTGGCGCCTCCTGTCTGCACAGGGCTGTTAGCCAGCCGCCCGGGAAGTGGAGCTGAGCAGGTCAGCCTGGGCCCTGCGTGTGCTGGGGAGCGTGAGGGAGGTGTGGCCCTGGGTGGGGCAGGTGCACCTCTCTGGGTGGGGGCCTCAGCCCGCCCCCCTCCCCCGGGCAGTGGGGTGGATGAATACTGCCTACCCAGGAGCTGTTGGGAGGGTGTGATGGAGCCTGGAGAGAGCTTGGTGGTCACTAAGTGGGGGATGGAGACACCTGCAGCCCGGGGACCCCAGCTGCAGCCTGTGCTTCATGGTGTCTGCACCCCACTGTCCCTGCAGAGGAGTCCATAGAAGCACAAGGTGAAGAGGCTGTGTCACATCCAGGCCGCCAGGACCTCTGCCCCCAAGGCCACCCCAGCCCAGCTTCCCCTGCTTCCCACTCCCCCTCAGCCCACCCACCTGGGCTCTCTCCGCAGGGCGGAGCCACCTAGACCTGGGGCCGGGAGGCTGCTGGCATCGTCCCCAGGGCCCAGGCTGGGGGTCCAGTATCAGGCGGGGAGTGGTCAGCTGAAGCAGGACTGCAGGCCTGGCTTGCCCCACCCTGGGCCTCCACCCCGGCTGCCCCTCTGGATCAGGGGAGTGAGGGGGGAGAGCTCCGGGCACAGTGCCCACTGTGGAGGTGGCGCAATGTGAGGGCGTGGAGGCCTGGGTCCGGGCTTCTGATCCGGGTTCTGCTGTGTGGCTCTGTACAAGTCACTCTCCTCCCCTGGGTCTCTGCCACAGTGGACATCATTATTTCAGAGGTCCCTGGAGACCGTGATTCTGCGCACCTGGCCCAGAGCGGGGATTGTGCCCCTGGGACCTCCCCTCACACCACCCTGCTTCTTGAAGTCCCCAAAGCCCCAGGTGGGCTGAGGGCCTGGGAGCTGGCAGTGCCCACCACCCCACCTGCAGCCCCGAGCACCACAGATCTGCCGATGCCCTTCCACTGCCTACACGTGACAGACCGGTGACCCCCTTCTGGGGAAGGGGACCCGCCTGGCTCCTCAGCCAGCGTCTAGCTTAACCCCTGCCCCCTCCCACTCCTGGGCACTCCAGGCTGAGGGTCCCCCCATCCCCGGCCTGGAGTCATAGGCCTTGCCAAGCCCCTCGCCACAAAGGGGCAGCCAGGCACAGCTGCTGAGAATCCACGTCCTTGCGTGTGTCTGTCCACACTTTTTAGGCGCCACGCCAAAGGCCAGCCGTTCGGCCCCACTCCCACTTTGGAAGCCCCGTGGCCACGTGTATGTTGGTAACAGTTGTACAAAATAAATTCTATTTATCGCTATTGTATCCGGAGTTGGGCTGGCTTTGTATGCACACCACCCAACCGACTGCCTAGATTGAGACACAAGTCTGTCCCCATCAGAGCTGCTGGGTCAAGCCACAGGGTCTGTGACCACTGGCCACGGCTTCCTCACTGGGCACTGCCCTTCCTTCCTCTCTATCTCTTTCCCCACAGCCATCAGAGGGTGGCCTCTGAGACAGGAGGCCTTGAAGTTGTGGCACTATCTTAGCAGGGTAGTGTTGAGATTTTAGCTTCTCTGATCCTGTTTCCGCTTCTGTAAAGTAGGAGTGATCGAGCCTCTTCTGGGTTTTGTTATGTGGGTCCCATGAACTGGTGCATACAAACCTAGCACATGGCCTGGGGCACACAGTAGGTGCTCAATTAATGTCTTCCCGTCTCATGGGCAGTGTATCACTAGAATTTCCCTCATATGGCCGCCAGGGGGCACCAAAGTATCACTAATCAGCTGACAAGAGCAGTAGGGGTAAGTGGGGCACCGTCCCAGCCCCAGAAGCCCAGGGTAGTGGCTCAGTAGACTACAGGGTAAGGAGCAGCAGTGTTCAGGGCAGGCCTGGGGGTAGTGCGGGGAAGGGCATCCCTCGGGAGGGAAGTGTAGAGGGCAGAGTGTCCAGGCACCAGAAATGGCAGGAAGATGGGGCCAGAGGCCCAGGGCTTTCTTGGAGGGCGGTGGAGAAGCAGAGGTTACTGTTGGAGCTCGGTGTGTGGGGCAGCAGGACAGGCAGGACAAAGGAAGCCGTTGCTGGGGACAGGGTGGCCGGGTGCACAGGGGTGTTGGGAGGCAGGAGCAATTGGATGGGTCAGGCCTGATGGGCTTGGAGCTGGGTGGGGGTCCCAGAGGCCCCCAGGGTCCACCCTGGGAGTCAGGTGGGACCACAGGGCGAGCAGATTTTAGGGATGGGTTGGAGGATGCTGGCGTTGGGGTGAGCGCGGAGCTGAGCCCCAGCTGAGCCATGCTCCTGTGCTCCCTTCGGATGTCTCAGGCCACCCAGGGGCTATGACTCACCCCTAAACCCAGCCCCGGCCGGGTGGGGTTGGATTTGGCTCTTGGCTGCCTGGGCTCAGGGTCCCTCCTGGCCCACCCACGTGCCACAGGGTCTGGCCCTCAGCGCCCCTCAGACCATGACAGCACAGCACCCTTGACTCCCCCAGGCTTTTGCTCTGTCCACCCCCAAAGGGCCAGGAGCTCCTGCTCTGAGCTCCAGGAACGCGTTGAGTCCCCTCCCCCACCTCACGGCTCATGGTTTCCCGTGTGTGCAGCGGGGCGCTAACTGGCCTGCCCTAGCAGGTACCTGGAGTGCAGGTACCTGGAGTGCAGAGTCCAGGTCATGATGCAGCTGTGGTGGATGTTGGGGCCCCACAGGACTGCTAGCGAAGATCAGACCAGCAAACCTTCAGGGAAGGCAGGGGCAGCACAGTGCTGGGAGACCCCAAACCCTGCCCACCTAGCACACACAGTCACCTCTGGGGTGATGACCGGCAGGTGCCTCCTGAGCTGCAGCCACACAGGAGGGGGTGACAGTCACCCTCCCTGCAGCATCCCTGAGCTGACACTCGGCAGCAGCTGACACACTGGCCTTGGGGTGAGCGCTGCTGTGGCAGAGGCAGGTGGGAAGCCTGGGGAGCTGTGCCAGGCCCGTCTGTGGCAGGGCCAGCCGCTGTCCAAACCAGGTCCCTGCCCCAGGCCCCAAAGTGGGGCCAGAGGAGCCTGAGGACGGATCTGGCCTCTGGGATCAAAGAGTCTGGTGCTGTTTCTCTTGCACCCAGGCCAGCTCTGCACCCGCCCTGAGGTGGGGCGGTCGAGTCGGGACATTGACCCAAGGCTGGAATTAGGGCCTGGGTGGGGGGCACGGGCTCCGGGAAGTGCTGGGCTGTTAGAAATAACCCTGGTGGTGGAAAAAGCAGCCAGCCCTTTCTCCGGACAGACCAGGAGGGAAGAGGTCTCTTCCATGGGGGCAGGGCACACCCAGCGTCTCCGTTCCCTCCCCGCCTGTGGGGACCTCTCCACCTCTCCAGCACCTGCAAAACAGGACAGGGCCCCACGTGGGCCACCAACAGGTTGTCATGCCTCCAAGGTGGTTTGCATGGTGCCTGACACAGAACTCATGCCCCAGCAAGGGTCTCCCTCACCCCACAGCCAGGATGTCCCTGGACCTGCTCATCCAACACGACAATCTTGCCAAAGAGAAGGCTGCAGGCCCAGGCTGGCCTGGGGCCAGGGGGCTGGGACCTGAACCTTTCCTGCTGCTTAGGCCACAGGGGAGGCTCAGCCAGGGACCCTGGAATGTGGAGGTCCCCCCCTCCTTCCTGCGCCTGCCCTACCAAGGGGACAGGCTGGGACAGAGCCTTCTGAAGTAACCAGATCTGGTTAGTAAGGCTAATTTTAAAAGCCACTCTGGCGGCCCCATGGGCCCTGCTGGGAAGCCGTGAATGTCCCTGTATGAGCTCCTGGGAGGGGCTCTGAATCGACTCTCACTTTTGTCTGCAGTGCTGGACACCCCAAAATGTCCCCAGGGCTGCCATTATGGGCCCCCATGATGGGGCTCAGGGGCCCAGGCTTGCCTCTGCCCCAATCCACAGAGGCAGGCCCTGGGGGGTCCAGGACATTCCCGTGCTGCCTGCTCTCCCTCAGAGGCTCTGGGCAGGGGACCTCAAGCTCTCTGTCCTTTGTCTTGGCTCGGGTCCCCCTGTCTCCATCCTCTCAGTCCATGTCCCTTTGCCCCTGAGCCTCTGCTCCACTCTGATACCCCTATTCCGAGTCCCTGTGGCTGTGTTCCTCCAAGCAGGCTGGTTCCCTAGGAAGCCAGACAGTGCGTGCCAGGTATGCGGGGTCCATCTGGGAACAAAGGTTTCGGGTGGGGTCCAAGGACAGGGCCGCAGTCATGGGGCCAACAGGAGCTCTACCTGGGCAAGAAGGGGCCGGGTCCAAGCATGACCCGGGCCATCTGGCCAGGCCAGGTGCCAGCAGGAGGAATGAGCTCCAGGCGCTCGGTTGCCAGACTTAGCAAATAGAAACACCCGGTACCCAGTTAAATTTGAATGTCAGACAAACAAGGAATAATTTTTAGTTTAAGTATACCTCATGTAATATTTGAGGCATACTTATAGTAAAAAATTATTCCTTGTTTTCCTGACATTCAAATTGAACCGGGCGTCCTGTGTTTTATCTGGCACCCCATCCAGGGAGGCTGCAGGAACCAGGGGAGGTTTCTCGGGGACAAGAGGTTCTATAGAGTAGTGTGACAGGGAGGCCCAGCCGGGCCCCAGGGAAATCGCAGCCTGATGGGTGAGACACGGCTCCTGCCCGCAGGGAGCCCTCAGTTTTCCAGGGGTGGGGACAGTCCTTGGGAGCCTCATGGGGGACACATGATACCAAGCATAGTAAGCTTCTTGGGGAGCCACACATAGCCAAAGGGAGGGGCTGTGTGTGCCCTGCTGAGCTCCAGGACTGACCTGTTAGGGGCTCCATATGTGTTTGTTGAATGAATAAGAATCCTTCCAACCCATCCCATGGGGCTGAGGGGGGTACGTGGCCAGCAGGGGGCTCCAGCATCCTGTCTACCAAGCTCCTGGGAGCCACCTGGAAGGTACACTGTCCAAGTGGGCTCTAGGGGCTATGGAGAGGGGCAGAGGGGGTGGAGAGGAGGCTCCCCCATCCCAGTGCCTCCCCAGTCCCCTGCTGGAGTTCAGTCCTGGGCAGGGGCATCAGTGGGGGACAGAACTAGGGCAGGGCGAATGGCCTCTGGCTCCTGGGAGTTGGTTGGGGCTAGGGCGGAGGGCCAGGCGAGGAGGCCCCACCCGGTGCTCCTTGGGGGTGTCCAGAACAGCCGGGGGATTCCTGCAGCCCAGGAAATGAGGGTCCTTGTTTCTGGGGAGATAAGATTCAGACTTTTCTGTTGTGGCCCATTAATCTCAACATGTGGTTCCCATCCCTCCCTGAGAGCAGAGGGAATTTTTTTTTTTTTTATACCAGGGATCGAACTCAAGACCCTGCGCTTGCCAGGCAGGCGCTTATACCGCTGAGCTAAGTCCCCAGCCCGAGCAGAGTGACTTACACAGTCTCTTTGTTCGCCCACTCACTTGCTCATTGAGTGACTTCAATCACCACGGAGATCAATGTTCCCTGGCCTCCCTGCCTGGGCCTCCTGATACAGAGTCTCAGCAGCTCATCCAACCCTACCAGGAACACCAGGCCACGGCCAGCCCTGCTACTGGGCCCTGTGCCCTTGGACAAGCCATACATGGTAGAGCCTCAGTCTCCCCATCTGTAAAATGGTGCTAACGCTGACATCTCCCTCCCAGAGTTCCACGAGGATTCATGAGACAATGTCTGCCAGAGGGAGCTGCTGCCCCTGCTGGTTATTATCATCAGGTCCAGGCACCTGGGTGGCAGGCAGGGGCATCTGTGGCTCCATGGCTGGTGTCCCCTAAGCCTCCTGGAGACAGCCTGCTTCCTCTTGGGGTTGCACTGTCTCAGCCCCAGCCCATCTTTTCGGGGCGGGGTAGCTTCTTCTATGCCCTGTAAGCTGGAGCCTGGTCCTTCCTGCTTGGGCCTCCAGGTCCCCAGTGTGCAGCAGGGGGCTGGGCTGGACACCCCACTGTGGCCTGGCCAGGCCTCTGTGTCATCCTGTTAGTAACGCTTCAGCTCGGAGCCTATAATCATATCTGTCCGGGGAAGAACTAACCCAGCGTTTCTTTAAATTGGGCTCTAATTGTGGCTTTTAGTGGAGTCAAATGCGCCCCCATCCCCCCGCTGGTGTGAATTAGTGAGGCTGCCCTGGCCTGCCCCGCCAAGCCCAGGAGTCCCCTGGGCCTGTTCCCCCTCAGAGCAAGCCATGGGACCGTGGCTGTGTGCGATGCCCTGGGCTGGGCGCCTTCTGTCCAGGTTAGCTCTGCAGGAGAGCAGACACAGGGACCTTTTTTTAAATGGAGAAACTGAGGCCCAGAGAAGTGGAGTCATTTGCTCAAGGCTGCAAAGCTTGGTGTG